CAGCCTGGAGAAAAGGAGGCTCAGGGGGGACCTTCTGGCTCTGCAATCCCTGACAGGAGGGGGGAGCCGGGGGGGGTCGGGCTCTGCTCCCAGGGAACAGGGACAGGAGGAGAGGGAACGGCCTCAGGCTGTGCCAGGGGAGGGGCAGGTGGGACATCAGCAGGAATTTCTCCTGGAAAGGGTGCTCAGTCACTGGCAGGGGCTGCCCAGGGAGGTTTGGAGTGCCCAGCCCTGGAGGTGTCCAAGGCAGGCCTGGCCGTGGCACTCAGTGCTCTGGGCTGGGGACAAGGTGGGGATGGGGCACAGGGGGATCCACGGGCTGGGAGGGCTTTCCCACCCTCAGGGATTCCACGATTCCTCCTCCCATCGTGAGGAGTTCCCGAGGGGGAGCAGCCCCTCGGTTCCTCGGCAGCATCAGGAAGTGTGTTGTGGTTTTCCTGCTCTACCTCCTGAAGTTTTCCAGCTCTGCCCGCGTGTCTGGGGTGCTTTGGTGCCTCCTGCCCTCCCCTGGCACGGCTGGGTTTGCAGGGATTCGGGGAGTTCAGGGGGTGGTGAAAGTCCAGCTGGTTTTCATCCTTTTCCTGACGGAATTTTATTATGTTATCCTTGCAACTTCCCCTGAACTTCCCTATAGGACCCTATAAATGTCCCCTGGCTTCCCTGTAGGACCCTGCTGTGACACGTGGGGGATTTTGGGGTGTCCTGTGCAGGAGATGATCCCCGTGGGTCCTTCCCAGCTCGGGACACTCCGAGATCCTGTGGTTACAAAACCCGCGGCCGGGTTGGGGTGACACAATGACTCAGTTGTTTCGGGTCGAGTTCCTGCCCTGCCTTGCGCTTTCTGGAGCAGCAAAATTCCTGAGGCTGAGGACGAATTGTTCTGTTTATTTATTTGCGTTTATTTTGACTCCCCGTTTCAAGTCCCTGGTGCAGTTTGGTGTGTTTTTGGCTCACCTCTCACGTGTCTCAGACTGGGGAAGTTCAGTTGTTTTTAAACTCCAGGCTGTGCAGGATTCTTTGACAAACTTATAATTCAAATAATTGAAAAGTGGGAGTCTGTTCACTTGCAATTTCTTAATTTTTCCTGAGTGTAAAATTTATTTATTTTTTTTTTTATTTGACAGTTGAATATTAATGATTTAGAATTTGCCCTTATGGCTTTATTACAACTAAACTCTGAGGAGCTTTAAACTTCCTGCCTGGATCTGTTCCCAGCCCACGTGCACTTGCTGTTTTCCCGGTGTTTTCCTTCCCCTTCCATCCCCTTCACCTCCCTCACGGGACAAAGCCCTTCCCTTTGATCCCTGTTTTCCTTTTCCCCCTTTCCCAAGGCTGCTGGCAGGCCCAGGGGAGCAGGGAGTGTTTTCCTGGGCTTTGGGAGCCATCCAGGATTACCCAGCGGATCAGGCACTGCTGAGAAGCTGAGGGATAACATTCCATGTTTCCCTGGGGGCTGCTGGGGTGTTTCAGTCCAGGCTTGGATCTGCCTTTCCCTTTGCCCGTGTCCTCCTCCTCCTCCTCCTCCTCACCTTTCCAGCTGCTGGGCCCTCGTTTTCCCAGAGAATCTTTTCCTGGCTGCAGGAATTTGCACTTTGTCCTGCTGGCTGTTCCTTTTTCCACCTCATCCAGCCCTCAAGGGTTTACGTTGCCCTTATGTTTTATTTCCTTTTTACATCTTCTGGTATTATTTTTATTATTTATTCATTTTTTATGATTTAATTTTTATTTATTTTATTATTTATTTTATTTCATGTTCCTTTCCTTTTACTCCCTTACATTTGATTTCCTTTTTAAATTTATTTTTTATTATTTTCATTATTTTTATTATATATTTAATTTCTTATTCCTTTCCTTTTATTCCCTTGTGTTTTATTTCCTTTTAAAAGTTTTTTTGCATTATTTTTATTATTTATTTGTATTATTTATTAATTTTATTCACGTTCCTTTCCTTTAATTCCCTTACATTTGATTTCCTTTTTAAAATTTTTTTTGTATTATTTTTTATGATTTATTTTATTATTTATTATTTGTTTCATTTCATGTTCATTTTCTTTTATTCCTTTACATTTTATTTCCTTTTTCAATTTTTTTTTGTATTTTTTATTATTTATTTTTATTATTTATTAATTTCGTTTCATGTTCCTTTCTTTTTATTCCCTTAAATTTGATTTCCTTTTTTTAAGTTTTTTTTTAATTAGTTTTTATTATTTATTTTTATTATTTATTTCATATTCCTTTCCTTTTATTCCCTTACGTATGATCTCCCTTTTTTATTTTTTTTATTGTTTTTATTTTTTATTTGATTTTATACTCCTTTCCTTTTATTCCCTTATGTTTTATTGCCTTTTGAATTTTTTGTATTATTATTTATTTTTTAATTTTTGTTTATTTATTTCTTATTTAACTTTATGTTCCTTTTACCTTCCAGCATTTTTGTGGCATTTCTCTTTCATTTTTGAGATGTCTTTTATTTTCCACTTTTCCCACACCAGCTGTATTTTTAAACACTTTGTGCAAAATCTGAAATATTTGTGTGCAGACAGGGTTTCATTTCACGTCGTTTCAGGGGCAGATCGGTCTGGAAAATTGAGATTTTGGGCTGAAAGTGGCTTAGTGGTGATTTTTTTGGTGCTAAATCAGGGCTTGTTTTCTCTGTTTCTTGCACAAAAAGTGACACAGATGGAAAAAAAAAAGTTATTTTCTAGTATATATAGATTTGGGAAGCCTTGCCCCAGGGAATGGAGGACTGAAATAACAAAATATTCGGCAGTTTGGAGGTGGTGGAGCTGCTGCTGGAAAAGATGGACACGGGCAGGATTTGGGCATTGCCTGCTTCCAATCCTCAGGATTTCTCTTCCCCTCTTCTTTGCTCTTATTTCTCTGTGTGATCCATCCCTTTCTTGGGAAAAAAAAAAAAAGGGGAAAGAAATAGTACCATGAGCTGGGAGAGAGGCTGGAGCCCCTTCCCAGGAGGAGAGGGTGGGAGGATTGGGATTGTTCAGCTGGAGGAGAGAAAGGTCCAGGGAGACCTTGGAGCCCCTTCCAGGGCCTAAAGAGGCTCCAGGAGAGCTGGAGAGGGACAGGACAAGGTTGATTTAGGTGGGATATTGGGAAGGAATTCTTGGCTGGGAGGGTGGGGAGGGGCTGGGATGGATTTCCCAGAGAAGCTGTGGCTGCCCCTGGATCCCTGGAAGTGTCCAAGGCCAGGCTGGAGCAACCTGGGACAGGGGGTGGGACTGGATGAGCCTTTAGGTCCTTTCCAACCCAACCCATTCCATGATTCCTTGACACTCAGCTTGGGATGTGGCACAGGGATGATCCTGAGACGCTTCCCCCAGCGGCACAGCATTCCCTCTTTTCCTGGGAGGCTGTTTGGAGGCAGGAGCTCCGCAAGCTTTTTCCTCCTTTTGGCAGGAACAAGCAGCAAACAACTCCCAGCCCCTTCCCAGCTGCTCCTTGCGGGCTGGCACAGCTCCTGCTGCAGCTGCACATCACCCACCT